TTGTTCTATATATTGCTGTTCTTCTTTTTTTGCTTAAATACATGGAACATAAATCAATGACATGGATGTCATAGCTATATTGTCCAAGGGGGAAAAAGCGGATCCTGGTGGATCCTGGGATCCATTAGGATCCGCCAGGATCCATAGGATCCATCAGGATCCAGTAGGATCCATCAGGATCCACTAGGATCCATTAGGATCCATTAGGATCCATCAGGATCCATTAGGATCCATCAGGATCCACCAGAATCCATTAGAACTCATTATCATTTATGAAGATAGATTAATGTTCTGAATAGCCACAAAAGCAAGGAAATCAACCAGATTCATAAAATAAGGATGCATAATTCAAAATATATTCTGGATGAATCAATGGGAGCACCATGTGCTATTTATACAACTATGACTAGTCTACTTTACAAAGGAAAAACGGACCTTGAGACATCCCACGATCTGTTGGACTCCATCCGAAGCCATTAGAATACATGGAAACAAAGTAAACAGACGAAGAATTGACCCTAGAATTTTTGAAAACAAAGAAAAAAGAAATTTCGGAGATTGAGAGCCTCGTGGGCCCCGATGAACTTTTGAGTATCTGAATGAGTTCTGCGGTTTATACGATAGAATAAGATCCATCAAGATTTAGGTGTTCCTGATTGGTTTCAGATTATTATGATGCTTGTTAATTTCTGCTGAATTCTTCTGGATTTCAAAAGATTGTACTAGATAGTGTTGAATTTTTGCTAGAGAAAAGCTCAAGTCTTTTTGAGCTAGATTTCTGACATAGGCAGCAACGACGCTGCACAGGTTCACCATTTTTTCCGGGGAAAATGCGAAAAACGGAAAAAACTGTGTATCCATAAAATTTTAAGATGCCGACAGAATTTTAATTGAGATTCAATCAAGATCGTAACAGTTTATTGCTATTTCCCAATCATATATCGTCGAAGAAGCTGCTAAATGTTGAGAAAGCCGTGTAGCCGTGGAATTTCAAGACCTCGGCAATGTTCATAACAGGATTCTATCAGTATCCTGAGCAGTTTACCAATGCAATTAAAACAAGAAATATGTTAATAGAGGGTCAAATCCTCAGAAAAACGTGTAGGCACGAAATAAACACGATTCTGTTATGATTAGAACAAAATCTTAGAGAAATTCTGAGTCATTTTGTATTGACTTTATGTCAAGGTCTTCTCAGAATTTCAATGGCTTCTAATTGGAAAATATTTTCTGATTGCACCTCGCAGAACTCCACTTCGATTCTGTAAGGATGATATCCGATGTATTGTCAAAATTTTTGCAGGATTCTCTAAGCAGAAAAGAGAAATGAACGCACATTATTGATTTCTATATGTTCAGTTAAAAAACTGATTAATTCACCGCAATAGACTGTACCATGCTATTTAATTTAACTCAAACCTTCTGTATCTCGAATTCCCTCTGAACTATTAACCTGTATTTGAACTTTATGCAAACATAAGTTATTTGAACAAAAATTCAATATAAACTTAATCTATTGATTACTTATCATAAAATTCTACTATGACTGGTTGATTTCAATTAGAATAAAAAGGTATTTTTCTGATTAGCACGAATAAATAAAATCCAGTACAAGTTTTATTGAAGTACTCGTCCTTTACTAAAAGCTTTTTTAAGAAAAAGTTAGTGCAACAGTTAAACTGATATTAAAATCTCCATTTTAATGAGTTTGCAAGCTTTATATGAAAATAAAATTCAAAAAATAACTGAGTTCCATGCTGTAAATGTCATGCAATATTGAAGATAAATATTAAAAATCTTTGACGAGAAATCTTCAAAAATTCTGCAAGAATTCTTCCATTCACTGACACATAGAAACAAAGGAATATTAGAATGAAATTCAGGTACCTTCTTGATCTTCTACATTCCTGTCAGAACCAGAAGAAAACGCATTGCAAATTCTTCATTGTCATTTTAGTATAGTTACTGTTAAAATTTTATTTAACAAGCACAATTTGAGTTTTTGAGATTCAAAGATTCAAAAATATTCGAAGAATCTTAAATAGGAACTGTTAAGGATTTTGGTGGAAACATTTCATAATTTTATTCAAAATCCTGAACCAGATCAGTCATAGATCTTGTTACAATCCTCAAGATCAAGCTTTAGTAGACTCTAAATGAAAGTGGTAAAGATCTTCGTCTAACCTTGATATGCTTTCAGAAAGATCCTGGCCATCCTTGACCTTCTCTAGGAAGGATCCGAAATGCTTGTCCTTGAAGAGACCCTAAGACAACCCTGGAAATGTTTAGAAAAGATATTCTTAAGAAGAATGCTTAAGAAAATTAGATAGAATCGTGATTGAATCTTAGAAGAATCCACTACCTAAGGATTTTCATTGCTCTTCTATTAATTCCTTGTAGGATCTTTGCCTTATTTAACTGTAAGCCAGGAGAGGACCATGACGCAGAGATCACAAACGAGTTCTGTTAAAACTATAATAGAATCTAAGCAATATTCTTTCTGTAATCCCTATCAAGGTTTTGAGTAAGATCAAGAGTGAATCCTGGTACGGTGCATCATGTTAAAATAATAAAGAAATCTGAGTGGGAACTTGAAAAGATCCTGAGAAGAATATTTTTTTCAAAATGAAATATCCTGCAAACCAGTATTATTAAAATTGGAAACGGAATCCTGAATAAAATATGACATGAATCTTCAGATTCAGGAGCCCAAAATGTTCTTTCACACTTTCTCAAGGAAAAACAGGATTAAGACTAAAGTAGAGGGTTGCTCTAAGTTCTGACATCTTTAGTTTGACGGAGAAAAGCGGATTCTAGAGTCCTAAGAGATTTTAGAATATATTTCTAGAAGTGTACCAAAAGCGGTCACAGATTACCGCCATTGGCTGTAATTCAACACAATCCATTACAATTTATCAGAGATAACTAGAATGCAATAGAAATCATCATGTATTACAATAATATCAAACCGATCGAGGCAGCGTAAATCTTGGCGGATCCAAAAAATACGCAGAATCCATGATGATATGCCAAAATTTACCAAGACATAATCATCTCGGTATCCTGGATCTTTTTTTCTCTTTACTTAGTTACAAATTCTGAAGTCACTATTCCCTTTTCTCACTTAATTTATTTGGACCTTAAAGAATTCTCATATCCATTAAGATCAACTTTTCCATCCTCGTTTCTGTACGCTTGAAATAATTTATTCTACACTTCATCAGGTTCCGTCACGATCCACTAGGATCCGTTAGGATCCACCAGGATCCATCAGGATCCACCAGGATCCAATAGGATCCACCAGGATCCAATAGGATCCACTAGGATCCACCAGGATCCACCAGGATCCACCAGGATCCAGTAGAATCCACCAGGATCCACCAGGATCCACAGGATCCACCAGGATCCGAGGATCCAGGATCCGCTTTTTCCCCCTTGATATTGTCTATAAAACAATTATTGTCACCATTATCATTTATGCACTTTTTACATACAATCGAATAGTAGCTTTTATGAATTTTATGTATTGTTAATGTTAAAATTAGTACTTTTGATGTTATGGATAAAATAACAAATCGGACTGTTATCGTACTTTCAATAAGAATGATATTTGATAATCTAGCGATTTACACTTTGAACTAGATGGTATTCGAGTTTCGACTCGAATACGAAATGCGGTGCGAAGCACGAATTTCGAAGAAAACTACTTCTCAAATAAAGACGAATAGTCGTTCTCAACACTATCGTAATTCGTTTTCGCTGTGTCTAAGTTCGACTGTGATCGAAACTGTTTGCAGCTCAGTTTTCAATCGAAAACGAAACATTTTTATCAAAACAACTGATCTAACTTAGAATCGACATAAAAGCCATCAATTCTGAAATTCATCACTACGGGAACTCTCCCAAAGCCTATCCACAGAT